ATTAAGTCTGTTAGATGGACTTCGGGAGCAATGCTATTCATCTTGGCATGGAAATCATCCCTGTCCTAGTAATATGGTAATACTCCAAAAGAGATTAATCGTTTTCTCAAAGGAACAAAGTTGCCTGTAGAAATAAGATGACCAACCACTTTTGTGAGCCTGGCGAATTTTTTGGCATTAACATTAATCTTTACTGTGTCTACATTAATTTCATGTTCTTTTTAGTTGATATAACTCCCATTTTAACTTTTTCTCCATAATTAATTTGCATCACTAATAGCAATCCTTTATCTCTTTGTTCCCATTATAAAAGTCCACAAACCAGCACGTCATCCTTTCCATATGGAGTTGAAAGTTGATATTCCTTTGGCGTGGGCAAGCCTTCAGAGCAGTGCATTAGCTGGTTAGCAGGGGAGAGATTGGTGGTCATTGGCACTTCAGAATAAAAATCCTTGAGAAGCCATGTTTTGATTTCAGAATACCTTACATTTAAGTTGGAGGCCAAAAAGGGCACAATATAATAGTGGTTATTGATTTTCATATGGGAGTAATTCTGTGGACAGTGCTTATTGCACATCCTTTTGTGAATTTGCTAGCTGTCCCTTACACTGGGAAAAGTTCGCGCATAACCATTTTTGTTTGGGTGGGAGTTGCGTCAGGAGTAAGAGCTGGGGGACCTCACCAGCCTGGTGTGGAGCCTCCTGCATGTTCCCAGCTCTGAAGGGCTCCCTGCCCCTGAGCTCTGGCCTGTTCCTGCTACTCAGCAGCAGCTTTCCACAGCGGTGGCTGGGAGCCAATATCCCTCTCTGGGCTGGGGAGGGTTGCTGTGCAGGCCTCAAAAAAAACCTCCAATTGGTGCTTGGCAAACAGTGGCCTCCCTTGGCGGTTCTGGAGACTTGCCCACACCTTGAACTCAGCTCATGGGTGTGCCTGGAATGTTTCTTTATAAAAAGACTAGTGATGGCTCCTAGTGAGGGAAAGTTAGAAGCCAGGCCCCGAGGGAGGTGAGAGGCCAGAACCTACCGGGAATAAAGCCAGCATTGCAAGGGAGAATATACCTGTATGTGTATTTATTTTAGTGGAAGTTCTTACAGCAATAGGAATAATATGAACATCAATCAGCAAATTAAATTCGCTGTAAATCAATTTCCCAGGCAGGGTTAATGAATCATAACCTCTCTTACTACCTGACAAAATGAGAAGAGAGAGAGCTGGTTTTCAACACTGAGGCATAGACGAAGTAAAACAGCAATAATAATAATACACAAAGAGACTAAGACCATAACAAAAACTGTTTCCTTGAGCACCTATTTATAAGCAGCTTGATGCTAACTAAATACCGTAGTTATTGCTTTACAAAATTCATAGAAGTAATCTGCCTGTTAGGTATGATTATCCTCACTTCAGATGATGAAATATCCTAGGCAGAGTGCTGGGATTGATTAGCCATGTCTGCCCTGAGCATATATAAAAGCTGGGGGGAGTGGAACATAAACCCCTGGCCTGCTGCGTCAC